CTCTGAGCCCGACCAGGGGCTGCACCTAGGGATTGGGCCTGCCCTCTGCCACCCGGGAGCAGGCCTAAGCCAGCAGGTCGTTATCTCCCGAGGGGTCCCAGACTGCAAGAGGGCACAGGCTGGGCTGAGGGGACCCCCCTCCCCCCCAGTGCACAAATTTTTGTGTACCGGGCCTCTAGTTTTTAAAATAAAGATAATTGCCATTTACAGAGTACCTACTGTGTGCCAGAGAATATTCTAGTTTCTTTACATGTACTATATCTAAAATCCTTCAAAATGCATGCATTGCTTTTGTGTAGAAACTCTGGAATGGACTTGCTTTCTGAATGGGAAGTCAGATGTAGTCCTGCCAGAGGTAGATGAGCTTTAGGTAGGCTGGTGAGGGATTCATAAACAATAAGCTAGGGCTAAGAGGCAATATGCATGTCGGTTAAGAAGTAATGGCTCCAGGCACACTAATTCTATGCAGTAGAAAAAGGGAAGTAATTTGTCATATGCTTACTATGTGCCAGAGACAACAATAAATGATTATATACTAGTATAATACCTAAATATCAACAATCCTGCACAAGAGGAATCACAATTCCTAATTTTACAGATGGAAGCTCAGAGAAATTAAGTAACTTGCCAATAGGTCACATTGTTAGTATATAGTATATATATACTATATATACTATATACTAACAATATGTTGGAGCCAGAATTGGAATCCATGATAGTTTGATTACAAAGCTTTCATTCACCTAGTCAAGCTGCTTTTCCTAAGGTCAATAACTTTTGCTTACTTCCATTTATGTTGCTCAAATTCATTTTGTCTTTTATCTCTAACATAATGTTCACATCAGGTAACCTGAGGAAACTATAGACTTTCCAGTAGGCAGTAAGAATTCAGGTAGTCAATCGGTCCTCTCACTCCAGTAGCTCTAGGACTATTAAGGTTATGTGAACACCCAAGTTTGCACTGCCAGTTAATGACACATCAGGATCTCCTGACTTCTGGTACAGGGCTTCTTTCATTAAAATTATTAGTCATCCCAGAGTAAAAAAGATAGCAATTCTGATAAACATAATTCCCAAATTAGATTTTCTTACTGAATATAAAATAAAAATAGCACCAGAATTATCATCCACTTTATTAAAATGATGCAGAAATCCTTTGCTTGAGACAGCTGATATCCCTAAGCAAAAAGTAATGAAGGATTACTGTTTTATAACTTAGAATTTACATAGTTAATTGCAGATAATAGTTACCATTTACAGCATGTTGTGCTTTTAGACCTAAGGAAATACAAATAAAGTAAGCTGCCTTTAGATATTGAGAGAGAGAGAAACCAGGATAATTAGGATGGTAACTGTTCAGACCATCAGTTTTCAATATTGTCTGATTGCAGGGACAATGCAGGGAAATACTTAACAGCTTCACTTCTGAGGAATCTTTAAATTTTGGGATTAGTGAGTATCACCTGGGACATTTTCAACTACAACTAATTGAAAATCCAGGTTGAAAGTGGTTTAAACAGTACGGGGTTATTAATGTTATACAGTAAGAGGTCTAGAGGCAGGAAGTGCCCCTGAACTGGTTACTTCAGCATCACAATCTCATCACGGACATTCCAGCTTTCTACTCTGTAGTCAGCCTGTCTTCCTTCCCTGATCCAAGCAGTTCCACATGTCCATGTAGCACAATATCCAAAACATTTCCTTTCAGACATCTTTATAATTGAGAAAATGTTTGAACAGCTCCCCAGCAACTTCTCTCCTCCAACTCCCACTGACCATAAGTTCACAGGCCTGCTTTCACAATAACTAGCAGCAGGACCTGAACCATCATCACTGGCGTAAACAATCATTATTTACTTGCTGGGGTTGAAAGAGCACAGCCTCCAATCAGTAGGTGGCTTTGCAGGTAACCAGATAACAACAGGTGTTCTCCCAAGAAGTCAGGGGAAGAGGATTTGGGTGGGAAACAAAACAGTGTGCTTTGGCAGTGGTTCTCAACCTTCCTAATGCCGCGACCCTTTAATACAGTTCCTCATGTTGTGGTGACCCCAACCATAAAATTATTTTCGTTGCTACTTCATAACTGTAATTTTGCTATTGTTATGAATCGTAATGTAAATATCTGATATGCTATATGTGTTTTCCAATGGTCACGACCCACAGGTTGAGAACCGCTGCTTTAGAGCAAGCTTCTTTAGGAAGCAGAACTACAGAATGAGTCCCATTCCTACCCAGAAAGTCTGGAATTATGGTGATACCTGTTATTCAGAAGGTGGAATATGTCACTTAAGCCTAGTCAGCATGACTCTCAATTTCCATTTTCATGGCAGACAAACATATTATTATGCTCTGGTTAAACACTCTTTGTTGTCACCTATGAGTTTCCAATTTACCTTGCCTTGTCAGTAAGACTTAGATGAGGAAATACACATAAAACTCATCTAGCCTTTAGGAGGAGAGGCATGAGGAAGATAAGGAAGAATTTCTTAAGGTTAACAAAAAAAAAAAAAGGCGTTTACATTCATAGAGAAAGGGAATAAACAACATGCTCTTTCCTAAAATGAAATGTTTAAGAGTTGGAAGGAGCCCTAACCGGTTTGGCTCAGTGGATAGAGCGTCGGCCTGCGGACTGAAGAGTTGGAAGGTAAATGAGAGAATTGGGGGGTAGGGGTGGGGGTGGGGGGGACAGAAATCTGAAGAAGGGAAGAAAAAATAAATCGGATACTTTCACTGTCAGGAAGAGCTGTTGACCTTACATTTGGAGAAGGGACAGATATGAAAAATGAGGGAGGTAGGCAGCACACACAATTTAGGAAGTTTTATATTATTCATTAAAATACCATTCAAAACATTTCAACTTTTGCACAGTGCACCTTCAGAATAACCAACCAGTGTCCTTCTGCCCAAAAATCTTTTAAGTATAAGTTGTAGCATGCTGCACAGATCATTTTTTACTAGCTAGCTTTAACATGTATGAGTTAAAAAGGCAGATTTTACAAAAATAGGTGGATACCATTTTTCTGGAATCATACCATTCCTGGAATGTACTTGTCTCCTAATTATCCAAGTTTAGTTTATAAATGTGTAATATTTCAACAACAACAACAACAAACTTCAAGTATTTTATAAAAGAACTTGCAGGAATAAAGAGTACTTAAAGTTAAATTTTTATAACATTACAAAATATGTAGATAATGTTACATGACCAATTATATGTCCATTATGTCTGGCTCAAAAAATAAATAAAATGGATCCTTACTGCATTTGTTCAAAGCATTTACAGATCCTCTTAAAACAACTTCAGAACTCCTTAGATTAATAATTACTGCTTTAGAATCTCACCTTATTTGGGAGGCCAAAAAGATAAATACATTTCAGATCAATCGCTTCCCATATTTACCAGCCTTAGCAGCAAAGGACTTTGGAATATTTGAAAAATTCAACTCCAACCCCAAAGAATAAAATTTTGTCAGCAATGAGAATACTTAACAGAATATACTAAAGGCTTAAAGCAATTAATTCCAAAGGTGTGGTTCTAAAAAAGTATTTTGGCAATAGTAGTACTAGTTTAGTACAGCAATAGTCATACAAGTGGCACTTTCTGAGGGGACAAACTTTTGTTATGTTTGTTTCAATTAAAAAAAAATGAGCCATTTTCATAAGAATATCTTTAAGAGTAGCTCTTACAGGTTAGAACACAACTCTATTTAGAAAAAGACTTCTAAGAACTCTGTGAACTTAATTTTCCAAAAAGAAAGCCCCCTTTAGATAAAAGAGCATGCTACTTTTTCTGGTTAAATGCCACAAATTTTTACCTTTTGAAAGTTCTGAACAAGTAGAACAATTGAGACAAAAGAACCAAGAAACAGCTGAAGTTCAATCAGCAATAGGCCTCATTTTAGCCAAATTGATTTTGTAGTGAATTTTTACCAATCTATCTAATTTAAAATTATTCTACACCTTAAGTTACTTGCTTGGGAAAAATTAGTAGAGTAACAGATAAAAATTGCCTCTAATCGTTTGTCAACAGGACTTAATTTTATTCTCTTAAAACACATATCTTTACAATGGATGAACAGTTTATTTTAAAAGGGTTAGGGTTGAGCGATGTTAACATCTTTACATCAAAATGCATGCTGTGACACCTCTAAGTAAATACACTTGCATTAATTCATACGGTAACATTAAGAGGCGGTGCTAATTTTTGAAAACCATTAAGAGGCCACAGGTATCTGCAATATAAAAGGAGAAGCAAACCAGGTGACAGTAGAAACGGCTGAAATCATTGGAACTGCAAAATACTTCTGACCTGACCCGGCTGAAAAGGAAAACCTCCTAGGAAGACAACAGAACCATCATGATGACTATGACCGCTCCCGAGGGTGGGAGCAAGAACAACAGTGAGCAATGCACCGAGGGGAGGGGGAGCTGGCACAGGGTGGATCTTAAATTAGAGACCTAAGAGGATTGAGGATGTCACTCCCAGGGGACAACTCGCTGAGAAAAACTCGGGCTTCCTTTTCCTCGGATGTTGCGACCGTTCCTTTACCCCCCCTCCCCCACACCCCCATTTCCCACTCTTTGTGAATCTTGGACATTGCGCTTCACAATGCTTTTTGGCCACGTAAAATATCTTCACACTTTGGCCAAAGCGGCCATCAGGTGGCCAGAGGGAAAGGGCAGTGAAGAGGGAAGCAGGGCAGAGCGAGGGATCTTGGAAATAGCCCATGAGCCAGATTATAGTCAGCGGCCATGTGTCAGGAGGGCTGAGCAAGTCAGAATTAGAGGAGCTGAGCAGTGGCGGGGCAACGGGGGAGGGTCCGGAGGAAAACGCTGAACTGGGGTCCGAGAAGCCAGAGCCCGCGTGCACACCACCCAGGACCCGGGGAGGTCTATCAACCAGAGGCAGCTGGCGCGGAGCCGGCCCGGGAGCCGCGAGTGCGATTCGTCCCAGCCCGCCCGCCCGCCCTCCTCGGGGCCGAGAGGGAGCGACCAGTCACCTGGAGTGGGAGCTCCGCAGGGACTCGATCAGGCGCTGCTTCTGCTGCTGGAGGCTGGTGAGGCCGCCGGGGGACCCCGCTGCGGAGGAGGAGGCGCTCTTGGTCAGGGGGAAGAGCCAGCTCATCCTCCCCGGCTCCCCGGGCCCGAGGCCCTAGCCGGCCCGGCCGGCCTCTCCCAGCGGCTCAGGCCGGGGGTGCTTCCACCACGGAGGAGCAGACGGACGCCCGGGACCCGAGCGCGGGGCGGCCACGTCTCCTCTACGCGGGCCCGCCTGGCGGTCCCCGGGCCCTCGGGGGCATGCTACGACTGCGGGTACTGGACGCCGGGAACTCGCGGGCCGGGACCGGGCCCCTACCTCCAAGGCCCGGCGCCAAACCGGCCAGACAGCCTCGCCGCCCAGCCTTCACCGCCCCCAGCTTCCGCCCTGCGTGCCCCGCCCCCTGTGCGCACCGCGTCATCAGCCGGAGCCGCCGCCGCCGCCAGGACGTACGCGACGCGACGCGACGGCGCAGCTCGGTGCGGCGCAGCGCCGGCTCCCCTTCCCCCCTCGCTGGGCGAGAGGTGTCTATGGGGCATCCGCTGCCGCCGCCGCTGCCGCCACCACCGCCGCCGCCGCCGAGTGCTGTCTCTATGGCGAGGAGGAGGAGGAGAAGCGCGAGCTCGGTGACACAAGTAGATCTGGCGCCTGCAGCCGGCGGCGGGGGCGGGCGGGATGGGGAAGTGGGAAGGGGGTGGGACGGTGGACCCGGGAGGGTGCGCGATGGCGCCAGCTGGAACGGGGCCGGCGGAGCACGGAGCAGGGTGGCGGGCGGAGGAGAGGGAAGGTAGCTGAGGCTGGGGGTTTGTCCGGGGGCTGGCGCGGAGTGATGACGCAGAGGCTTTGTACCTGAGGCTCGGCGGCGGTGGGAAGGAAATGGGGGGCGGAGGGCGGTGGCCCAGGTCCCCAGCTCCTCGGATGCTGGCGCGCGGCAGTGCCCGGGGTCAATCTGGCTGCAGTCAGTGGTTATCTGCACCTTCGCCCTGGCGCTCCGCCAGGGAGGAGAGTTATCTGTGGCTGGAATGCTTCTGCACCGCCCTCTCCTTTCTCGGGGAGCCCGCAGGGCGGAGATGCTTCCTCCAGCAGGGAGGTCTGTGGCCCCCTTCGCTCCTGCAGCTGCAGGCCAGGGCCTTGCAGAAAAGCACTGGGAACTGCAGGGGCGGCCCGCCCTGTGTGGCAGAGTGGGCAGGCTTAGAAAGCAGGGACCCCTAGATCTTTGGGTTTCTGTTCTCAAAGCCGTCGGTTACACCTGTGACTGCAGAGTTTGGGTGGGGGCATAATTCCTTTGAAAAATCTTTGTTATGCTATTTTTTTTTTCAAACTGTGAAAAACGAAGGAGCCTTTTCCTGTTCAAGAACCAAAATGTGGTCTGTCCTGTTATCATATACCGTGAAACCAGTGTATATGGCCCAGCAACATGAAGTGTGTGTGTTTGGTAACCAGGGGAAAATGCTATGATTTTTAGGAAATTAGAAAGAAACAATTTGAAATGCCTTGCTTTTTCCCTCCTGCAGTTAATGGACATTCAGACAAGCGCTGTGTCTGTTACTTATTGCTCAGAAATAACTTATTATTATTATTATTATTAAAGTAGGTTTAATTTTGCCCCCTCCAATATGGCTTGAATAAATGACAGTCAAGGAGATTCTGTAATCAAATCAGATTTTGAATGTTCTGTTCATTAGGAATAAAAGCAAACATTACTTCTGTCCTAGTAACATGTGATCTTCTCACATGTGTATCAGTATTTCAAGTTTCATTTTTGTCTGAAAATGGTTATCAATTTTATTCAGTGAGTTGAATTCAGAGCAGTCTTTAATTAGTGGGAAATTATTAATATGTGCACATAAAACACTATATAACTGATGTTAGAACCAGGAAACCTGTGTTTTTTTTGACAGGTACACAAATAAAGGATAAAGTATTTTATGAAACAGATCTTCAATCAAGTATAACATTTTGATGCTTGGCAGCTAGACTCCTTGTGCCCTCACTATGCCAGCAGCAACGGTAGATCATAGCCAAAGAATCTGTGAAGTTTGGGCTTGCAACCTGGATGAAGAGATGAAGAAAATTCGTCAAGTTATTAGAAAATATAATTATGTTGCTATGGTATGCCTATGATCAAATATCCTTAAATGCTTATAAAAGGGGAAGAGGAATTTTAAAAGTCTTGAATTCAACCCTTTGATTTTTTTTAAAGGGATTAATTTAATTATGCAAAGGAAATTTTGTCTGTGTCCTCCAACCAAAGACCACAGGAAACATACCTGTGATGTGACATGTTGGGTTTATTACTTACTGGAATGAGGGAAAATGCATACCGTTGGAGGAAACTTGGGTGAGGCAGTTTTAGATAGGGATTAAGGAAGCAGGGCTTTGTGGGAAGCTGGGGTATCTTAATAAAGTTTTTCTTTTAATTGATTTTTAGAGAGAGGAACGGAGAGAGGGAATGAGAGTGAGAAACATGGATTTGTTGTTCCATTTATTGATGTATTCATTTGTTGCTTGTGTGGGGTCTGACTGGAGATCAGACCTGCAACCTTGGCATGCAGGGTCGACACTAACCAACTGAGCTACCCAGCAGGGCAATGTGTTTTAACTAGACTCAAAGAAGACCCAAGTAAGTCGAAAGCTATAAAGAAGCAACAGTCAGTCACTAACCAAGATGGGTATTTGGTCATTTTCGTGGTTCTCCGTGTTTAGTCATGATTACAGAGTGGCCTTGTCTGATGTTGAAGTGTGAAATTGTTTATAGTCGACGGAAGAACATTAGCTACAGGTGCCAAGTCAGCCCCTAGCAATGCTAAGGCCTAACTGATAATACCAGATCAGCTCCCATAAGCTAGGAAACTCCTGATGTCTTTCTCAAACAAAAAAGGTCTCCCAGTGAAACGTTGATCTGCAGTTTTGTTGTTTGGTTTTTAATTTTAAAAAAGTTAGCAGTGGAGTTCCATGAACATATTGCTGTTAAGCAGCTCATCTTGTACTTCTGTTATAGCTACTCTACTCTTTTCTAGAAAATTAGCTTTGTGAAGCAAGGGGTTAGTATCTTAATATTTTGTTCTTCCAACATCTAGCATAACACAGTACTTCCAATAGAGTGGTTTTTGAGTAGGGAAAATTTAGAGAAGTTTTAATTTCTTTACTGTTTATAGTGACTTGGTATTTAGATTTTGTTCTTAGCTTCCTAATTTGAATTTTAATACTAAACTGATGTATCATTTTCTCAGTATTTTTAATACAAATAAATATACTTCTATGGGGAGGGAAAAGTTGATTGTTTAAAATATGAATATTTGAATGTACATAGATAATTTTCTATTTAATAAAGGTGTACATCCTCACAGAATTAAATTTTCTTATTCAGTAGAAATTGCTAGCACTCACTTATTTCTCAGATGATAAGGAGTGACAACATTAGAGACGTGATAACATTCTTCAGGAGTGTGAGTGGCATGCAATTTTTGATGACATGCTTTCTCTGGAGTACAAAGAGAAGACTGTTTTGGCTCAAGAAATTAGAAGGGTTTGATGTTTATATAATCCTTGCCTGAGAAAAATGATTGGAAAGTATGATGCATTTTCCATTCTTTATGACCAGTTCCATATTGGTTTTAACAGATTAGCATAGTTTCACATACCTCTTGAGAAACATCAACTTACAATTTTTTGTCTCTTCCTTGGGAATAGAGTACTTGGTTGCATTTATCATCCTATATATAAGTAATTTTTTTACTGATACGATATTTAAAGTAAGGAAAATTCATTGAGGTTGTAGAGTTTCATTTTATGGTTCCAAAAAATAATGCTCTTTTCTGTTAAAAGGTACTTTGTAATGGAATATGAGTGTATAGAATATCATCAATAACAGGATTCTTTAATTTGTACCAAAAATTGCTTATTTATTCTAGGAATTTGTGGACTGTGGTTTTTAGTAAATAATGAATTTTAAAACTGTTTTACAGGACACCGAGTTTCCAGGTGTGGTTGCAAGACCTATTGGAGAATTCAGGAGCAATGCTGACTATCAGTACCAACTATTACGGTGTAATGTAGACTTGTTAAAGATAATTCAGCTAGGACTGACATTTATGAATGAGCAAGGAGAATACCCTCCAGGAACTTCAACTTGGCAGTTTAATTTTAAATTTAATTTGACGTAAGTGGGAAATAAATATAACCTGATAATTTTTCTTAGTTTAATTTTTGGAGTTGATTTCCCTCAAGTATAGTGAATGAAATTCTAAGTGAATATGGCATAGTTATCCTGGAAATACTTAAAACCTAAAATCTCAAAGGTTAGAGTGCTTCTGGATATTATAGGTCCAAATAATTGAATAAAGAAGAGTCTCCAATTCATGTACTTTGAATTCTAGAAATGTTATATGAAAAGAATTCCTGCCACATTTTTTGAAATTTGGAAAATTTTGAGTATTGGAAATACTTCTTAACAGAAAAAAATAACGAATATTAGTTTCACTTTCAAACTTGTGTACAGTTTGAAATACATCTTTGTTGTAATAGTTTTGCTTCTTAGGTTTTTATTACAGTCATACTCCAGTTTATGAGTAGTTTATATATCAAACGTGGTAAGATATTTCTTGGAAACTTGGGTGCATTTTCCTGACAAGTCAATGTTATATAAATGATTATATTCCCAGGTCAGGCAACGAAATCTTTTATACTTACACTAAAGACCCAATGCATGAAATTCGAGCAAGAGTAGGCCTTCCTTTCCCCAGCAGCCGGCACCGGCTTCCCTCTGACACCTGGGACCCAAGCTTCCCTCGCATCCCCGGCTTGGTCCAGAAGGATGTCTGGTCTAATTAGCATATTACGCTTTTATTATTATAGATATGGGAGAAGTAATACTGTCCTTTAACCTATTGCTTCTTTCGGGAACCCTTCAGAATCTGGCAGATTGTCTTCCAGAATCTGAATTCTAACTGAAGCCCAGGGTAGAAACCCAGTTTCCTTACTTGTAATTCTTGTCTATCATTGGTAGGAGTAATCTTGATAGCTTAGAGAAATGTAGATTGTTTGGGCCAAAGGTAGATTGTTTATAAACTGACTGTAAGTTGGAGAAATGTTTTAATACATTCAAAGTGTGGTACAATACAGGATTGCAATGTCCTGTTTGACAGCCTGTACTTGTGTAATGTACTGTAACGTCTGATTTGAAAAATAGTAAAAGAAGGTGGTAATGCCAATGTATGAACCTCCCATTCTCTGTAGAATAATGTGAAATTTAGTATAGGAGATTTCAGGAAAAGCAGGGTTGATGATTTTAAAGGGTAGTGTTAGTGTTGCAGTAATATGGCTTACACTTTCATTGTGTTTAGCCTGACTCCTTGTTTTTGGATTTTAAAATGTACTCTTCAGAACCTTGTA